GATACAACACTGGGACTTGATCAACAGCCGATACCGCACCGTGACGTCACAAACCAGTAGGTGGCAGTAGTGTTCTTTGACAAACATGGATGCCTCCAGTAAAGCACATTCAAATGAAATTACTCTAAATTAAAAACACTGATCATTTATTGAACAGGATGGAATAATTTCATATTTAAAGAACTTTCAGAAGTTTGAATTCTGAATGTGACTGGACTTTTCTTTTAAGAAAAATCCCGTGACTGGATGAGCATCTCCTCCACAATAGAAACACTTGTTCTACTGCCTCCTTCAGTTATGTTCCTCCAGCTAAATCATTGTACTAACTAACAGCATGTGGTCAGGTAGAAGTTAGGGGCGGAAATCAAACTTGAACCCAGAGTTTGGAACCGACTACCTAGTCAGAGCTACTGCCTCCTGTTAATGCCTCTGTCGCCTCCTCTTAAACAGACAAAGTTCTGTTGGTGCTGTTAAAACCTCAATATCATTATGTTACTTTGGGTACTCGTCTACTGTAAGTTCTTCTTCAATATTCTTTTTCAATGGACGTGCTTTGGTGGCGCAGTGGTTAGCGTACACAGTGGGCTGAATAAGCAAGCAGAGCTGGAAGCACAAAGTAAAGGAAACAGCAACTAGTTGACAGACCAGAATCCTGACAGTTTAGCAACCTTCTGAAGAGGCTGCTTACTGCTCTCTAGGACTAAAACAATTGATAGGAATACTAGTATAGAGTATGTAAAACATGCCTGTATCTGATTGAGCGACCAACTTAGAGCAATAATTATAGCAAAATTGTAAAAAAAAAATATATATATAAATATTATGCCTTTAAGATAAAAAAAAAAAAAAAGTTTCGTCTCTCAATCTGCTCTATCCAGAACACCTCAAGTAGAAAAGTTTTCAAGTGGTTTAATTTAGTTAAAAATCTTCTTTAAGGAATCTTTGGCTATCCGATTATAAATGAAAATAATAATTGACAGATTAATCAATTTGCAAAATAATCATTAGTTCCTGCCCTACTGCTGTCATAATGCTTCATTTTAAAAAGGATTTTTCTTTTAGAAATCATCTCCAGAGGTTCTAGAGGATTTCCTTGAACCTTTCTCAAAAGAATAAAAAAAAGGTAAATTCTTTTGCCCCAAAAAAAGAGTATTCCCTTTTGACTTCTAACCAGTAGGTTTAGAGCTAAAGCTTACCTACACATACTGGGTTTTGTATGTGTTACTGTGGTCCTGGTCATTGGAGTACCAACTTGAAGAGGGAGGATTTGCCATCGACCTTCTGCCCAGAGAAAAAACACGTATACAGTCATATTAAAAAATTTGGGTACTCCTATTAATTAATTATTAATTAATTTTGTTTCTTAATATTTGGGTGTTTGCAGCAGCTATTTCAGTTTAATACATATCTAATAACTGATGGACACAGTAATATTTCAGTATTGAATTGAGGTTTATTGGACTAACAGAAAATGCAGAAAGTGCAGAAATGTGGCTACCCTAATCATTTTATTGATTAGAATACCCTTAACTACTTTTCACTGAATTACTGAAACACAAAATTGGTTTGGTAACTTCATTAAGATTTCAAATTCTTAGCCAGGTGCATCCAATCATAAGAAAATGTATTTAAGGTGCCCAGTTGCAAGTTGTTATACAGTTTGCATCTCCTCTGAAGATTCATTATGGGCACCTCAAAAAAACGCTGAAAACAAAGATTGTTCAACAAAGTCGTTCAGGGGAAGGATACAAAAAGTTGTCTCAGAGATTTAAACTGTGAGGAAAATAGTAAGGAAATGGAAGACCTCAGGGACAGTTCTTGTTAAGCCCAGAAGTGGCAAGCCGAAAAAAATATCAGAGAGGCAGAGAAGAACTGTCAAGGACAACGCACAGACCACCTCCAAAGACCTGCAGCATCATCGTGCTGCAAATGCGACAGAAGCCTTTTCTGCAAGCAAGCCACAAACAGAATCCCTTGAGGCTTGCAAAAGCACATTTGGACAAGCCACCTTCATTTTGGAATAAGGTCCTGTGGACTGATGAAACAAAGATTGAGTTGTTTGGTCATAAAAAGCCTTTTTTATGCATGGCGGCAAAAAAACAGCAACACAGCGTTCCAAGAAAAACCCTTGCTACCCACTGTAGAATTTGGTGGAGGTTTCATCAAGCTTTGGGGCTGCGTTTCCAATGCTGGCACTGGGAATCTAGTTAAAGTTGACGGTTGCATCTCAATATCAGCAGATTTTTGAGAATA